ATCAACTGCTCCTGATGGGGCCCAAAGCCCGGGCTTTGGGCCCCATCAGGAGCAGTTGATTCTCAGAGTAGTAAGCGTTGCAAAAATGGGCCTTACAAAGTAACAAATAAAAAGACACACACACAAATTTACACTTTAATAAAACTGAATTTTATATTAACTTTTCTAGGAACCTTAACCTCATTTCAACAAAAAAAAAAAGAAAAAATGCTAATTAGACATTCAGCCGGTTCATGCCATTAACCACGAAAACAATCTATGCAGATACATGATTGAAACACAAGGATTTGGGGAGAAAAACAAATGGAGAGCTAATCTGTTAAATTAGTTTAAAGCAGTGATGTTGGTTATTGAACCAAAAAGAAAAACCTATATTTGAATCATTAGTAGATCAGAAATGCTTCAGACGGTCCATTTCTTCAGCTCGCCTTTGAAACGTTACATCTAAAAACCAGAGCTCAAATTAAAAAACTATAAACTTTTAAGATCTGAAGTCACTTACAAACTGGCACGTAATAAAATAAAACCCAGTCAACCATTCATAAACATTTTTTTTTATTATTTCATCATCAGAAACTCCAAAACTGAAGTGATGGTTGACAGAGGAAGTAGTTGAATCTTCAAACCTCTTTACTCAGTGTCTGGAAGTTTCAGCTGCACTGGATAATAGCTGCTAGGGAGGAATCATTACTTGTAAGGCAAACAGGAGTTTAGCCCACAAACAGAAAGTAATCAAACCCTTAAAGTGATTCCCCTTAATAAGAGAGATAATCTCCACTTTAGCTCGATTCTCCTCAGCTCAGCTGGATATTCGTTGTAATTGCTCTCGGTAATCGTGCCCTAATTTATTGACGAGATTCATTTGTAAGACTTGTGTTGAAAACACACAATCTCCTCCAATCTGCCCGCGACAGCAAGCGGAAATTACGGACGCTTGGAGTAGAACGAGGCCAGATTTAGTCTGTTTAAGAGCATTGGAGAAAGCATCAGCGACTGATGTTAAACTGCAATCAGTGTTTGTCACTT